TCCTCTTCCGTGGAGCCTTCCCTCTTTTCTTGCTCTTCTTCCTCTCTCCATATCCCCCTTTTCCTAGAGCTTGGGAGGACCAAGCCTGGAGGAGACAGTGACTGTGGCTTCCTTCTCTTGCTTCCATCTTAATTCCTACTTTTTGGATCCAATTCAAAAAACAAAGATGAATAGAGGCTTACTCTGGCCCTGGAATATACAAGATGGGAGACTCCCATGGCCGAGGGCAATTCTCCAGCAAGGAGGCATTTGGGAGCCATTAGCAGCCTACATGCACAGCAGCCAGGCCAGGGGTGTCCCAGACAACAAAGGGGATCTGTGTGAGGCAACAACAGCATCCACAAAAATGAGGATGTGGAGTAGTGGATGATCTCACACCCTACTCAAGGAAGTGCAAATTGGTATGGGAGTATGGAGAGCAAGGTAATATCAAGTGGAAGGCTCACGTGTCCTATGACCCAGCAATTCGACTCTCAGCCATATACCTTAGAGAAATGTTTGCATGAGCAGGAGAATATGAGTACAAGACTATTTATTGCAGCATAGTCTGAAATAGCAAGAATTAGAAATACACAAGATGTTTATAAATTGGATGCAGTCACACAATGGAATGAGGCAGGTAAAATGAACAAGGTTTGTAAGTATCATGGGAGCAGAAAAAAGCATGCCACATAATAATAATCATAATGTTGCAATTTATACAAAGTTTTAAAATATGCAAAATAATGTAGCGTGTGTGTGTGTGTGTGTGTGTGTGTGTGTGTGTAAACATGTTTGGGAATCCCAATACTCAATGTGAAAGTCCATATAGAGTAGCAGGACTTGCAGCCAGATTGCTGCGACTCCATTCCCTCTTGTCTGTCTGTCCATCTCTTTATTCTGCCACTCCCTTCTCTCCCCTTTCCCCTCAGCAACCACCTACACACACACACACACACACACACACACACACATACACACACACACACACACACCGCCCCCTCGGGTCCCTATAGCAAAGAGGCCCAGACTGGAAGAAGACCTGGGGCAGTTGAGGCTCTCTGGGACGGGGGTGAGGGCAGACGGGAGGGGGACAGGAACACCTCTTTGTTGCTCCTTTTGGCCTGAAAAGCTCCACTGAGCCTCCACTGAGCCTTCCTGAAGGGCAGGCAGCCAAAGGCCTCAGGAGAAGGTAGACTCATTTCCTTATAAATGATGTGGTTATGACGGCGGGAATTTCACATGTGGCTTTTTGCATAATCAAGTTATCAGGTAGTTAGCCCATTAGAGGGCTCATAAATTCTCCAGCTGCTCTGACTCAAGGCGGGGAAACATCTGTGGGATGAGCCAGCAGGGATGGAGCTCTGAGGATGAGGCTGCCTACATGGTGTCAGGTGGGGATACTCTCTGGGATACTCATGTCACAAAAACGTAGGCTTCAGAATCCATCTGAGTTCAAGTCTTAGCCTCACCACTTGCCAGCTGTGTGACCTTGGGCAAGAAGCTAACCCTCCCAGATTTCCATATTAGGGCAATGGTGGTTTCGAGGTAGAAAATTGGCCTGGGGAAGTGCAGCTGGCCCCTCGGACAGATTCCCTAAGGAGGTCAGTACCTGGGTGTGGCCATCAATTTCTGGAATCTAATCCTCAGACTTCCCTCAGAAAATTAGAGGTTGGCACTTTGGGAACTGTGGACAGTATCAACTAGACTCACTGAATCAGATTCCTAGGGCCACCATAACAAAGTGCCACCAACTGGGTGGCTTAAAACAACAGAATTTATTCTCTCACAGTTCCGGAAGCTAGAAGTCCGAATGCAAGGTGTCAGTAAGGCCATGCTCTCTCCAAGGCTCTAGGGTGTCCTCCTGTCAGGGGGGTGGTCACCATTGCTCCCTTGTCCAAGATGCTAACTTTTCTGTGGAAGCCAAGGGCAGGGCAAAATGATGCATTTGTCGGTCCTGATGACATATGGAAGGGTTGGGGGCCCTCACTGCATGAAGAAAGGAGGGCACATTATAGAGTCTAAGCTAATTAGGGAGGATATTTGGGTATAGTCATATCCCCTTTAGTCCCCTTGAGATGGCCTGGGTCCTCAGCATCCTGGTTTGGTGGTACATAGGGCCATGCCCTTGGATAATGATGTTGAGCCCTGAGCTGCCCACTTCCTGCTCACCTTTCTATGTGTAGTAGTCCAGGTTATCCAGAGAAATGGACCAATCCAAAATACATAGGGAGAGGGAATGATGAGGAGGGGAAGGGGAGAGGTTGGTTCTTGTGATCACAGAGACTGATAAGGCCAAAATCTGAAGAGTGGGCCACCGGGCTGGAGACCCTGGGGAGAGATGATGTTGCAGTTCCAGTACAAAGACCATCTGATGGCAGAATTTCCTCTTGTTCAGGGAAGGTCAGGCCTTTTCTCTATTTAGGCCTTCAACTGATTGGATGAGACCTACCCACATTATGGAAGGCAGTCTGCTTTACTCAAAGGCCACTGAGTTGAATGTTAATGTCATTTAAAAGCACCTTCACAGAAATATTCAGATATCCAGAAATATTTGGATAAATATCTGGACATCTCATTTAAGCCAAATTGACACACAAAATTAACCTCTTTACTAACATGACTTCGCCAAGCAATTGGAATTGTAGCTTTTAGTCACCGAGGACTTACCTAGTACTGGGGGCATTGTGCTTACTTCCCAGCACTTACCACATGTGTGGCAAGTTTTATGTTCCTTTCACAGAGTCAACTGAATCTTGCCCAGTGTTATAGCCAATGTCAATGCCCCTCTTGATCTCTTTTTCCAGCCAATGACTCCTGCTCCAGCTGCTGCCAGTGAGGTGCTAAAAGCTTACATATGAGACCATCTCTGGAGGACTGCCTGTGACTGATGGGATTGCTTTTTTCCAGAACCTTCTGAGAACTTCCATCCTCCTCTTCCACTGCCACTGCCCCATACTTCAGGGATGGACAATGACTGATTAACAGAGCAGTCCAATAGTTTGGCTTGCTTACTTCAAGGGGAGATGGTGCTGGACAACTTACTCCCTAGAGCTCCCTGTGGGATCAGGCAGAGATTAGACACCAGCTGAGACCCCATTCCTGCTGAGCATCTTCTCCCACCTTGTCCTGTTTTCTTCTCTCCCTTTCTCTTGAGATCATTTCCTCCATAAATCATGTGCCCAAGAATCCCCATCTCAGGTTCTGATTCTAGACAATTCTAAGATACCTGTTAATGAGGAATTTAGAGCCAGGTCTAGTTGACTTCAAAACTGGCCCACTGAACCCCTGCATTGTCCATAGTTGGAGGTGGTAAGCTGGTAGGTGTGAATGCATCCTTGAGGGTTCCTGGTCTCAGCTGAGAGAAGAGTCCTCTCCTTCCTGTGCTTACTCACCTCTTGCTGCTGTCTTACTCCACAAAACGTGACACCAGCAACAAGCTGCCCGGGTAGTTACAAGGGCGGGGGGTGGGGGGAGCAAGTTGAAGGCTAAGCTTGTGGGTGAAGAGGCCATGGGTCTGTGAGACTCACGCCTAAGTCTTCTGAGAGCAGGGAGTCACCTTTCGTTAGCAGGAGGCCAGATGGGCAGTAATAGGAACGTACTCGAAGTCCTGAGCTGCAGTTTGGGAGAGGGTGTGAGCCAGACCCGGGTGGGCAGGCTGCCTGGTCAGCAGGCTCTGGGCCTAGGCTGCAGTCTGAGGCTCCATTTGCAGCCCCCTGCCTGTGGGAGTGCTGAGTCACCACCCTGGGAAGGTCTCAGCTGGATTTTTCCATAACTTAGAGGTTTGGAAGTGCTCCAGTCATGCCTGCTCCAGTTAGAATTTTGCCTCCAGCTTTCCCAGGAGGCTTCCAGCCCTCTCTGAGAGTCAGCTGCTCAAGGGCAGCAGATAAGTGACAAACGAGCTCTCCCAGGTAGAGATGAGAGAGTCTGGACCCAAGAAGGTGGAGCCAGAGCCTGTCAGAGAGATTACTGAGGGTAGCTGTGGAGTTTGGGAAGGGTTCCTCGCTGGTTCCCAAAGAGCCTTTTACTCCACCTGGCTAGTAAAGACAGCAAAGGATGGAGCACCCATTGGCTGAAGGCTTCTCTTAACAAAAAGAGACCTGTTGGCTGTACTCTCTGGTTAAAGACCTTTATTACTGCCTTCTCTATGAACATATATAGTGTGGGGGCTTTGGTGTCGGGAAGACCTGAATAAAAACCTCTGTTCTATCCTTAAATTCCGTGATTCTGGGAGAGCCACTTAATATTTCAGAGTCTCAGTTTCCTCATCCAGTAAATGGGTGGCCATGTTTAGCACATAGGCTTATTGTCTGGAAAGGGGCAAGTCAGATGAAGGAAGTAGATCATCAAGAGGCAGAGATAGGGGTGCTTGGGTGGCTAAGTCAGTTAAGCATCCAACTCTTGATTTCAGCTCAGGTCACGGGTTGTGAGACTGAGCCCCAAGTCAGGCTCTGTGCTGGTAGTGCGGAGCCTGTTTGGTATTCTCTCTTTCCTTCTTTCTCTGCCCTTCTGCCATGTGCACACTGTCTCCCTCCCTCTCTCTCTCAAAATAAATAAATACACTTTAATTAAAAGAAAAAAGAGGTGAGGGGCGACTGGGTGGCTCAGTTGGTTTGACTGCAGCCTAGCTCATGATCTCACAGTTCATGGGTTCGAACCCTGTGTTGGGCTTTGGGCTGACAGTGCAAAGCCTGCTTTGGATTCTCTGTGTCCGTCTCTCTCTCTCTGCCCCTCCCCTGCTCATGCTCTTCCCCACTCTCAAAATAAACATTAAAAAAATTTTTTAAAGAGGCAGAGATAGCCTTGGGGGACTAGGAATGCTAAAGAAAAATTCATCCAACTTCACCATGAAGGAGATAATTTACTTCTAGAGCCAGGGTGGTAAGTATAAGGTCACTGCTTATCTGTTCCAGTGCTCAGGCAGACATCTCTAGGTATATCTGCAAACTGTAACGCTGGATAGAATTTCCAGGTAGTTTCTATTGTTTGATCAGAGGTGGCACTTGAGATAGAATCTGTGTGTTTGTCATCCTTGCCCTCAGGTCAAGACGGCTTGACAGCCATCACTAGGAGTCCCTACGTGAGTATGTGAGAAAGAATTTAAATGAGAGAAAATTTGTCTTTAGGGTGTCTTCTAGCTTGAATGCCTGGGGAAGGAGATGGCTCTGATTGGGCAACCCAAAGAGTCTATTATTTTCAGGCAGCTTGAGTTACTGGGCAGAGGTCAGACTTGGTGTGGACTTTCCAGATGACTACAAGCTTGGCAGAGCTGGACTCACCAAAGATGGCCTCTTGGGCTGCACCCCCACTGCCCCAAGAGCAGATCCTGAGAGAAGGACTATACAAGTAATACAAGTAACTTATTTGCAAAACAATCCCAGGATCACCCGCAGGAAATTCAGGAAGTGAGACAGGGAAGGGAAGGAAGCCAAGGCAAGATGGATTTTGAACTAGGTTGTCATTGTAGGTGACTAGAGCTTAATCCTGCTGAGGACTGCTGGGAGCCAGCACGGAGCACATATCTGAGTTACGGCATCTGCTGGGTGAGGGAGCTGCGGTATTTATATGCTATCTCCCACCAGTCATTAATTGAGGGCTACTGTGGTAAGATGTTAACTCTGGTTATGGATCGATAGGGTGAGGTCGAGCTTTCCTGAGAAAGCTCTCAGGGAAAAAGAAAAATCACAGGTACTGGCAGCCGGAAGTGGTAAGTGTCAAAAGAAGTTATCTGCTATTCATGTGGTTCCCAAATCCCGAGCCCACGTGAGTTTGTTCATTGAAAATCAGATCAGCCTAAACTTTTTCAGTGTATAGTTCTCTTTAAAATGCCAGCCTCACCCTGCTCCAGTCTGCTCAACCCCTAGGGACATAGAATGCATAGTCCCTGGACTGAATGACCAGAACCCTAACGATTAAAATAGTAAATATTTGTTTTACATATACCATAGATCAGGTGCTTGGGTAATTGCTTTGTAAGAATGATCTCATTTAATTATCACAACGCCCCTATGAAACAGGTGCTATTATTATCTCTGAAGTTCAGAGAGGTTAAGTGGCTTGCTCAAAGTCACACAGTGTTATGGACTGAATGGCTGTGTTCCTCCAAAATTCATATGTTGAAACCCTAACCCGCAATGCATATATGACCTGAGTGGCACTGCCCCATGCCAGTCTATGCTGTCCTTTCTGCCTGCCCAAACTCCACCTACCTGCCTCAGGCAGGGCTCCACCTCACCACTTCCCAAAACCTTGTCTAATCTCTGAGCCTGTGTTTGACTTGCACAGGCTGTGAGGGGGGTCGGGCCAAAGTGAGCCAGATTTCTGGGGTGGGTAGCAGGGAGAGCCCAAATAATGCTCTAGCGGTCTCTTCCAGAATCCAACAACCAAATAATGAGCTCACGGTAGAAGATGCCAGACTTGATTTTAATTTTACTGTACACCCTGTCTCTCTCTGTGTCTCCTATTTGGTGCCTAGGACAAGACCAAAGCTTTTGGGCACTGGAGACACTCGTGCAAACTAAAAAAGCCCTAGCCTTGTGGAGCTGACATGCTGATGACAGACAGACAGACAACAAACATGTCAACCAGTAAACAGACTGTGTGAGACGATGGTAAACGTTCTAGAGAAAAATAGAGCTGATAAGTTTGATCAGGCTGAAGGAAGGTAAAGGAGGGAGTCACGCGGACATAAAAGAGGAAGAGCTTTGCATTCAGGGGAACAGCCAGTGCTAAAGTCCAGAGGCAGGAGTATCCTTGGAATATTAAAGGAACAAGCACAGAATGACCAAAGAGGAGAAAGGGAAAGGGGATAATAGGAGAGAAGTAGCAGGGAGAGATCACATCAGGCTTTGCAGACGTTGTAAGGACGGTGGCTTTTGCTTAGAATGCGGTGGGGGCCATAGGAGGGTTTCAAGCTTAGGCAGAACATGGTCATGCTTAGCCTCTGTGGGGGTTACTCTGGTGAGAATCACCCTGGGGGTGGGGAGGAGTGGGGGTGGGAGAGAGAAACAAGGATGGAAGCAGAGGAGAGGGGTACTGCAGAGAGCCAGGTGATGGGTGATGGTGGTCCAGACCAGCTGGTAGTGTGGAGGAGATATGGAGTCAGGTGTTTTGAAGGCACGTATGATGGGGAGGGATTGCCGATGGGTTGGTTGAAGGGTGTGAGCAAAGAGAGGGGTCAAGGTTTCTGGCCTGAGCAACTAGTCCAGAAATACAGTAATAGGAGGTAGAGGGTGGAAGGAGCAGGTTAGGGACATACATGAGAAATTCCATCTTGAACACGGATTGTGATTTCATGGGGAAACTCAATTCTTCTGTCTTTCGAGCTGCGGTCTGTGGCTAACTTGGCAGGACAGTGTTCCAGCAGCAAATCAAAACCCGGGGTAGCAATGATGTCTGACTACAGAAACACTTGTACGTGAATGTTTACGGTTTATTCATTAAAGGCCAAACCCTAGAAACAATCCAAATGTCTATCAACAAGAGAATGGATAAGCAAATGATGGCCTGTATTCCATACAATGGAATAAAACTCAGCAAGCAAAAACAAACAACCCCTCCCAAAAAAACAAACAAAAAAAAAACACCCCACATCAAAAACAAAACCAAAACACACATGCAACCTCGCTGAATCTCAAATGCAGTATGCTAAGCAGAAGAAACCTTACACTTAAAAGAGCACAAACTGTAAGATTCTTTTTGTACAAAATCCAAGAGCAGGTTACACTAAGCTAAAATCAGAACAGTCCTTTCCTCTGGGAAGGAGAATGGGATTGACCAGGAGGGGAACACAGGAACTTTCTGGGGTGATGGAAATGTTCTGTATTTTGATCCAGGTGGTGGTTTCACAATAGATAAGCACGTTTTACAATTTTATCGAGCAGAATCCTTAAGATGTATGCATTTTACTGTGTGCGAAGTAAACACTTAAAATTTTTTTTTAATGACACAATAAAAAGAAAGTGACCTTTGAAGTTGGGGTCTATTTGGAGCACCCAGCTCCTTATAACAGATCCTAAAAGGACGGAGTGGTGTGGAGTACTTATCACCTTCTTTGGGTTGCCCAGTATCTGAAGCCTGCCCTTAAATCTGGAGGCACCCGGCACTATGGACTTGCGTTCTCCAGCCACAAGGTTATGGGTCCAGAACCAAGCTCTGCCTCTCTGGAATGCTTCCCAGAGCTCTGAGTCTGGGATGAGGCCACAGAGAGCAGAGAGCACTGAGAACACGGCCACAGTCCGAGACGGAGGGTGCCAGGAGCGGCAGCGCCCGGCCACATTCTTGCAGCGGTCAGTCCTTCTGATCAATCCCATAAGTCACCCTGTAATCTTCTAATAAACCCCTCTTCTGCTGAGGCCATTCAGAGCCATTTCTGTGGTTGGAGCCCCAGCGCCCTGCCTGGTAAATGCTGTGCGGAAAGAGCCCGGGGCTGAGTCAGAGAGAACTGGATGGTGTCCTAAGTCACTCTGGTTCATCAAGTCCTGCCACACTGGTGATCAGACAGCCAGAGGGAGCTTATCCCATGACCAGCGCAGTTCATGAGGGAAAGCCAGAGGGCAGGGAGAGCCCCCTGGAAGGGTGGGGAGAGCTGCTGAGGGCAGCTGCAGGGCAAGCCAGCCCAGCAAGGGATTCCAGTTTCAGCTTTGCAGGGGCATGCTGTGGCATACAGGTCTTACTGGACTTAGGGGCTTGACCTGGGCCCACAAAGCTGCATCCTTACAATCTAGACAGAGCTCTAGGCAAGGCAACTTTCAAGGAATGAGGGGCCCACATCGCCACCTGGGGAATGTTTCCTGGGGCAAAACGGAGCCTGGGTCTTAGGGAGCCCTCAGCAGAAAAGGAGACCAAACCCAAGATGTGAAATATGCCTTACCAGCTCACAAGGGCGGGTGCGCATGCACACACACACACACACACACACACACACAAACACACACACACCTTCTCTAAGAGGGATCTCTTTTGGGGCGCCTGGGTGGCTCAGTTGGTTAGGCATCCGACTTCAGCTCAGGTCATGATCTCACAGTTCGTGGGTTCGAGCCCTGCGTCGGGCTCTGTACTGACAGCTATCTCAGAGCTTGGAGCCTGTCTTCGGATTCTGTGTCTCCCTCTCTCTCTGACCCTCCCCTGCTCATGCTGTCTCTCTCTCAGAAATATATAAAACATTAAAAAAAAAAAAAAAGAGGATCTCTTTGCTTAGTTCCTCAAAGAGGAACGTGGGGGAAAGATGGGAGAGTACCTCTGCGGGCCCACTGCTCTGTTTATGACCATGGCGGATGTTGCTAATCCATCACCAAACTCTGGCAGCATGACCAGTGACAGAGCTGGGATGTCAGCAGGTGGCTGCTGGAGAAAGACCTGTCTGATTTGCAGCTCCGCACTGGAAGGCACGTGAGGCCTTGGGAGATGGCAGCGTGCATGTGCATCTGGGCCCTGGGGTCCTTGCTGCCTGCAGGCTGGGCGATCTTTGTCAAGTCCTCTGACATTTCCGGGGCTTGGTGTTTGCCTGTGTAGAAATTCTAATTTTGCAGGACTGTTAGCTGACAAACTGAGGTGCAGTATGTGGAGGCATTTTGTAAACTTCTCAGGGCTGTGCACATCGGTGTGGTTTTATGGCTGGGTTTTGTTTTTCCTTCGAGAGACGTTAGCCACTCAGGGATGGTGGCTATGAGGGACCTATGCAGGACCTAGGAGGGAGCCTGAGGGGAGAAGATGAGGACTTGGGATTCTGTTTGAGGGGAAGGGCTGCCTAGGAGGCAGGAGGGGTAGAAGAATTCAGAAAGAGAGAGGGCTTGGCCTTCTAGAGTCCCCCCACTTTGGGGAGGGGAAAGCTCGAGGCAGCCACCGTGGAGGGCATTCACTCATGGCGGCTCCGGGCTCCCTCAGATGCTGGGCTCAGAGAGTTGGAGTCAGTGGGGGGAGTGTGGTGGCAGAGCTTAGTCTCCCTGCCTAGCCTTCCAACTGCAGACTCCTGGGTGGTCCGGACCTACGTCAACACTGCTCCCCACGCCTCTCTTGGCCCTCCTCCCGTGGCTCTGAAAAGTCCAGTGGCGTCACCTCTTCCAGATGTGGCCTCCAGATGTGGCTTGGAGCAGGTCAGGCAGATCAGGGATGCAGAGGCAGCCACCAAACCCCTGGCTTTGCCTTCCCCCTCCTTCTCCAATGGGGCCTGCTCAGTACGCTCCCTTCCCTGCCTTCCTTTCACCTCTGGGTCAGTGTACCAGGGACCTAGAGGCACACGGGTGGATGGATAAATAAATACCAGTTATGAAAAACCTGAGCCAGACAGATGCATCTTTATTCATGTTGGATAGAGCTTATAACTGGGGGAGTGGAGAACTCTCCAATATTTCCGTTCTGAGCAGCCCCAGTGGCTCCAGGAGGAGGAAGTGAGCTGTCTCCTTGGCTGGGGACCTGCCAGAGCACTGGGCTCAGAGCCAGCCAAGGCCTGAGAGGAGCTGGTGAAAACCTCCCCCTTAATGGGAACAGGCTGGCCCGTTGTATCTCACTGGGATGGAGCCCCAGTGAGGGGGGAAAGGCAGCTGTTTTCTTAGTGGCAGGCTGTGCAAACCAGGTGGTGCAGCTGGGAGTGAGTTCTCTGCCTGGACCAGCGTGCATCAAAGTGTACCATGTGCTCAATCCCTAGGGCTCTGGTTCAAATACAGATTCTGACTCAGTCCACCTGGGATGGGGCCTGGGATCTTTTAGTTCTAACTAGCTCTCAGGTGACTCTGAGGCTTGCTGGTCTGTGGACCACATTTTGAGTAGCAAGGCTCTGGACTGGATATCTAAACCATGTCTATCCTTTTTGACACTTGTCTATTTTTTTTTCTGCAGGTTTTCCTAGATTTCTTTCTTTCTTTTTTTTTGTTTTATTAAAAAAGGGCCACAGGGTAGACGTTGAAAAATCTCCTCTCTCTGCCTCCAGCAATGCAGGGATCCCTTCTCATGGTCAATCAGTGCTGTTGGATTTTGTGTACATCCCTCCCAAAGATATTTTACGAATATACAAGTAACTGCATACATTCTCTTCTCTCTCCCTGCCCTGTTATGGGTGTTATCTGATATGGTGCTGTTTTGCATTTTGCTTTTTCTGTTAACAACATGCCTTGGAGGTGGCTCCCATTTATCTTTCTTTTGAAGTTGCACACCTTCATTATATGCCATAACTTACTGAGCGAATCTCTTGCTGATGGACACTTGGTTGTGTCCAGTCTTTTGCGCTTGTGGAGGGCACTGCAATGAATACCTTGGTGGCCTGTCACTTCCGCCAGGTGCGAGTCTATCTGGAAGACAGAGGCATGCAACTGGAAATGCAGGGTCAAAGTCTACATGTGTTTGTAACTTTGATGAATACTGTCACACTGACTTCCCCACAGAGGTGAGAGAGGGCCTGTTTCCCTTATTCTCTTAGTGCCACGTGCCAACAAATTCCTGACCTTTGCCACCTTGATATCTAAAAAAAGGTAACTCTTCTTTTTGTTTTGTTTTTTTTTAATATATTTTTATTTATTTCTAGGAGAAAGAGAGAGAAACAGCGTGAGCAGGGGAGGGTCAGAGAGAGAGGGAGCCACAGACTGAAACAGGCTCCAGGCTCTGAGCTGGCAGTCAGCACAGAGCCCGACGCGGGGCTCGAACCCACGAACCGCGAGATCATGACCTAAGCGAAAGTCGGACGCTTAACCGACTAAGCCACCCAGGTGCCCCGTAACTCTTCTTTTTGAAACTCTCTCCTCTATTAGCTTCTATGATTCTCTTCAACTATTTATCAGTGAGTCATTGCATCCATCTTCTCTGGGCCAGCTGTCTCATCGGGTCCTCAGGATCCAGCAGAAGACTCCTGACTAATCCCTGTGCTTTCCTCTAGTAGAGAAGATGAACAGTTAAACAGTCAATAATTCCTTTTTTTTAAAAAAAAATGTTTATTTTTGAGAGAGAGATAGACAGAGTGCGAGTGGGGAGGGGCAGAGAGAGAGGGAGACACAGAACCCGAAGCAGGCTCCAGGCGCTGAGCTGTCAGCACAGAACCGAACTCAGGGCTCGACTCGGGGCTCGACTCGGGGCTCGAACTCACAAATCGTGACCCCAGTTGAAGTCAGACATGTAACCAACTGAGCTACCCTGGTGCCCCAAACAGCCAGTAATTCCTGATGAGCACAAAGAGCACTGGGAGAAGGGGTAAGTTCTCCAGACAGCACTTCTCAAACTTCAATGTGCTTATTGCATTAACCTGAGGATCTTACTAAAATGCAAATTCCCATTCAGCGGGGCTAGGGTGGAGTCTGTGATTCTGCAGTTCCAACAAGCTCCCAGGAGAAGCTGGGCTGTCGGTCCCCAGATTATACGTTGAGTAGCAGGGGCTCACCTGGAACAAGTTGGCAAACTTTTCCTGAAAAGGACCAGATAGTAAATATCTTCAGCTTTGTGGGCCACGTGATTTCTGTTGCTGTTCTTCAACCCAGCCCTTGAAAGCAGACCGGACCATAAGCAAATGAGTGGGTGTGGCTGTGTTCCAGTGAAAATGTATTTACAAAATAGGCAGTGGGCTGGATTTGGCCAGCAAGCCCTGGTTTGCTGACCCTTGCCCTACAACACCATAGGGGTCCAAATATCTGCTTGCTGGAGTGAGGAGGAAAGGGTGCTGTTGGAGCAGCAGCAGGGGGCTGAGCTTGTCTAGGGGTCAGTGCTGCCTGGAGGAATGGCATATTAGTCAGAGTCCAACAAGGAAAACAGAAACCAGGGTTTAATAGAGGTAATTAAATGCAGGGAATTGGTTACATAGGTAATGGGAGAGCTGAGCATTCAGCCAGGGGCAGCCCAGAGATTAGCAACAGCAGGAAGCTGCTACACCCTGGGGAAGAGGAGGAGGGGAGAGGTGGTGTCACTGGGGCTCAGATTACCCAGGGGGGATGGGAACCATGGTGGATATACCCACAGGGAGCAGGAATCATAGACGAGGTCCAGCCATGGTTGGAGACTCTGGGAGGGAGTATCCGAGCATCTGCCTTTTTCTTGCCTTCCCATCTCCCACCCATTGGCCAAACCTAGTTGTGATCTGACCTATATGGGAGCCTCCATGGACCAGCCCCTATCGGATAGAGCTAAGCAGGGGTAGTCAAGACATGACCTGAGGCCAACAGGCCCAGGTCCAGTCACTTAGGGACACTTAGAATGAGACTCAAGTGTAGGTAGTTGACCAGGCACATGCTAGAGGAAGGATGGGTGTTTCAGGCACAGGGAGCAGGCATAGGGTGTGTAGGGGTGAGTGTGTGGGAGGAGGTCAGCAGGGAGGCCACTCCCTTAAGCAGGATGACATTTATGCTTTAGAACAGGGGATGGCAAACATCTTTGTCACAT